AATTTTAAAAATTTTAAACAGTAACATTGAAAAATATATATAACCTAACCTTGAATGTAAAATCTAATCATGGTAAAGAGTACAATCATTCACTCTTGTACCGAATGAAGGAAGAATTTTAGAGAAATCACTAAATGAAATTGATCGAAAAATCACTAGTGTGTGGATGAGTAAAATTCCGAGCATATTTCCAGAACTCAGTAAAATATGATAAACCACATAGGAAATTAATAATTACATCCAGTAACATTTCTGAAAAAGCGTTAACAAAAGATCAAGAAACTGAAAAGCTGCACATCCATCTCTTATACTCTCATCTTTGATATTTCTTCCAGCATAATCCTTGACTCAGCAGCGAAGTCAACAGGAACAACTGCCCGAGCTGTTATCCTTTGACGCTTCTCGTTATTATATTCGTTCTGGGTAACACTAACACGGAAAAGATGCGGAACCCAAGTTGCTTGCTTCAATTTCAGATGATAGGGATTATCTTCTCCTTCCTGAAATTAATAGGACATATAACGTCAAATTAAAGTATTTTAACATCGAATTTCAACATTTAGCTCACGGATAACGGATCTTACTTGTGATTTAAGGTCATCTAGTTCATCCGCAGAACATCCAACGACCTTCTCAGCTTCCTCATTAAAGACGGAGATGAAAGCCTCACCACTTGAATCGCAAACTCTGGCAACCATAATATACCTGAAAGAAAAATGAAAATTTTAAATAAAAGCAACATATAGAAAACTTCACATTAAAAGGTGATAATTGTATTACCTTAAACTGCACTGTTCATCGCTTTTCTGGCATCCTTCGCACCAATAGCCAGAACCTATGCTTTCGGTAACTTTCTTATGGCATGTCTTACAGGCACGATACCACATTGCCTGGTCAGGCTTTACGAAGCTTATATATCCTCTAAGACTGAAAAATGCAGGCTGCTCACAGCAATAGAAGAGACTATAAGTCAGACTAGTGACTCACATGAAATTCTTTCTATGTTAATATATCTAATAACTAGATGGAACTGTCTTAACATGTAACATTTCAAAAGAAATAAATGCAACCAAATACCTTGACATCCCCCAATGATGAGTTTGAGGTTATGTGAGAAAGTGGAACACGATCAGAGTACACTGATCTAATCCCATTATTAGATGTTGGACTTGAACCAGAACCTACAGAGTCCATTGCAGCATCTTTGCCTTCAGATTCATACCTGTGGCCAAGACAGGCATATAAGTATGACTATCATAAAAGTATCACAGCAAGGTGTGAGTATCCTAGTGGATATTGGTATACCAGGTTCTGAGTTTCTTTGCCTCGGGTACGTCTGGATTTACCAGAACCACACTTCTGCTTATAGTTGACAAAGAAATACCTGAAACGAATACTCTAGAACGATAAATATATGAGCCTCTTAGACCATTGTCATAAAGTGCTTATAAAAACATAAACCTTTGCATACCTTGGAAGTCTCCAACCCTGAGAGATTTGATCGCAACAACTGGAGATTTATCAGCAATGTCCAGTAACTCTTGTCCAGTATTAGTAGCAAGATCGTTCCACAAGGACACAACAACTGTCTTCTTCCTGAAATGTGGCCATACACATATAAGTTTCACAATTCAACAACAAAAGTTTACCCTACCAGGTAAGAATTTAAGATGAACTACACTACACGAACTTCAACCATTCAACACGACTAAAGGACCCATCTTCAAAGTTTACCATGAGAACACTCTTAACTTCTCCACATATTTAAAGTTTCACAAGAATAATTCTTTAATGGGAGAAAATGTAAACACTCCGGGTGATAAGTACTAAATACTCACGTTTCATCAGCAATAGTAATGTCACGCTTTGGAATGTTCTCGTTGTCACTCTTCCTACGAATGCTCATTGTTGAAGACACGTTCTTAACAACTCCAATAACATCTGAAATTACACCAGATATAGTAAATAACAGAGCAGGAAAATATTACACCACAACAACTACCACATCTTATAAACAACACTCACCCACAAGTTCAGACTTGTTGACATAAGGACCTAACTGATCAATCTGGACAAAGCTAAATTTTGTTTCCGGAACAAAACTTGCGTCACCCGCCACCTCTTCCACCTCAGAATTCTCATTGAGTGTCATTTCATAATCATTTTGCACAGTTTTGAACTGTTTATTGGCAACTTTCAAAGTCCCCTTCGAAATATAGTAAACCTTTCCCAGAACAAATTTGTCAAAAAATTTCCTCGCCGCGTCGTTAAACATGGTTGCCTGAATCTGAGTACCCTGAAAAAAAAAATACATTAACCCCTAAACTTAACAAACAAGACAGCATCTAATCCCCAAACAAATAGGAAACAATTCTTACTTCTTCGTCCGTCAATTCGACATTGAATACACAACCTTCACCCCTAGCATTCTTATAGGTACGCATGTTTCCTTTGCTTGTAACGCTAACCTTTATTGTCCAATTACCCTGATAAGGGTTCAACGAAACAAGAGGACGCACCCTACGCGTCATTGCCAACCGTGCAGCAGGAGCCGAACTAAATTAAAATAAGGGATAAATTTTTTCAAAAAAATGTTGAAGAATACATTAACTAAAAACAAAAATCGGATAACGCATTGAAAAGAAACAAGAACACATCTCACTTTCTATGTTGTTCATTAAGAATCTGAGCAGCAGATTTTGTCACCAGTTCCTGCTTTGGCTTCAAAATAATCCCAGCAGCACCTTCACTCTTCAATCCACCCTCTTCCTTTGGTTTCAAAAGAATTCCAGGCTCCTCACTCTTGATCTCCTTTTCAAGAGCGGGAGATACTGGTTCGCATTTCGTGACAATAAGGTACCTTAAAAACACACACACAAAAATTAGACACCTCGAATCAGCTACGAAAGCTAATATACGAATAAACAACAGCACCGAAAGTAGGTCTTACTTTTCCGATTTGTTAGGAATGTCGTTGAGAGTGTAATCAAGAATGCGAACAAGACCTAGGTTTTGAATATTCCCGGAGAGAACCTCGGAATACATATTCGAAGGAAGAATTGCCCTCAGTTTCATTTTTCCATCACTAGCAGAGAACCTAAATTACCACATAAAATACACACGGTGAAAAAAGGAACTTACAGATCTGGAACAGATAAGGAAAGCGTCACGAAATGTGTAGATTAGAGAGTACAAACATGTATCGGTTTCCGCTCTGCTTGAGATCGAGAACCTGAACAACGATGTCGGGAAGATCCGACGAAGAATCGGGGGAAGGGTTAGCGAGGAGCGTCGAAACGGCGTCCGGTGTTACTGACTTGGCGGCCATTGGAAGGAAGTTTTGCAGAAAAGAAAAGAATAAAGAGAGAAAAATAAGAGAGTGAGAGTACGGTTGAAAGCCAGGGAGAGTGGTTTTGTACAGCGGGGAGTGTGGCGGGAAACGGGAATTTTGTGTGCGGCGTTTTCAATTAGAGGACTTTTCGCGCTTCATTTCGGAAATCTCACGCGCCATTTTCTTTTAAAAAAAATGGTAAAGCGCGCCTTAGAAAGGATATATATTTTATAATCATCAATGGTAGTAATATTTTCTTTTGTAAACACAATGGCAATAGTATATTGTTCATTTGTTTTAAGTTATGATATTTTTTCAGAAATTAAATTTTTTCATATTTTAATTGGAAATTTTAATTCTGGATATTTCTAAAATATATGTTTGGTTAAATTTTATAGTTTTAATTATACTTTTTTTTTTATTTTTAAAATAAAAAAATAGAAGAAAAAGGAAAGTTGTAGTAAAGTTAGAAAGTAGACTCTTTTAATAAAAGAAAATACAAATTAAAAAAATTAAAAAATAACTTTTCGACGAATAAAATATAATCGATTTTTTTAAAGTCTTCAATAAATAGATATTTTGGGCTTGCATATTTCTAAAAATATAAAAAAATCCGAAAAAATGAACACCTCCATTGTTTCCATATGTCTCCCATCTACTCTAAAAGTTAAAATAAATTAAATTAGTGTCGTTATATATTTTATTAAATACACAATGGATCAATATTTTATTATTAGTGTAGATTGGATATCGAATTTAATTTTGACAATAAATTTGAATTTATACATATGCATGTATATATATTTTTATTAAAAATTTACGATGTTATTATTCTTGTTTATATTTTTATTAAATAAAGAAACTATATATATATATATATATATATATATATATATATATATGATAAAATAAATATTTAACAACTATTTGAAAAAGGTAAATAGATATAATAATTAAGTTGTATAACTTTTTTAATAATATATAATCTGGAGAATTATACTATTAGCTATGTAATCATTAATTTGCCTTATAAAAGATGCGTATTTATGATTGAAAAAACTTTTTACTATCTTTACTATATATATTGACATTTATTAAATATTCTCAATATAAAATAAAAGAAAGACCAAGTAAACATCAATGCAATCCAAACCATTTCAGCTTAAAATAGATTAAATTTCAATTTTAACCTAAACTAATTCAATAATAAAATTAAAAAAATAAAATGATTGATTATTAGCATGTTAGCAATGGAGTAAAATATATATATACGATAAACACAAATAATTGGAATCGAACATATTGTGTATAGTTTTTCTCCTATGGAACTAGTGCAACCCAAAACACTTTACATTAATTTTGTTTAGTTAGACCAAGCATTACTCATTCAAAATCTGGAGTTATCATAATTTTATCTGTTATTCCTTTGTCAACATGTTAATAATTCTATTAAACTAACAGCCTATCATACAAAGTCAATCAGAAGTTGTGTCCCTTTCTGATTACCCAACTAAGATGTACAAAAATAACCATGACACATAATTAGAATCAAAACTAACTGGCTAGGTATAATCTGCTATTCAGATTATGCACGATACTAGCTTGATAAGAGGACATAAATAGTTATGGTTCTGGAAAATTACAAGAAACTCGATGTGATGATCTCCTACTAACAGCATGCAAAGCAACTAAGCCAGTTTTTTGATGCATTTGTGGTTGATTTTGGGGTCTGATCAGCAGTATTTTGCGTTTCATTTTCCTCTGACTCCTTCTGTTGACTTTGCTTCTCTCGAACACTCAGGGACGGAATTTTATCTCGATTTCTCGACGACCTTCACAATAGTTGAAGAGAAAAAAAGAAGTGATGAAAAATAAGCATGTCATCTACATTCATCCCTTCACTTACAGATTTATTTATCAGTTGTTATTTCATGTAGTAACTTTAACAGAAAAGCACGCATTATGCCAAACTTATTAGATAGCCCTGATCATTCTGAATATGTGATGTTGTTCAATATTTCAGTTTTAATAATTCATGGATTATAAACTCAACAAAATAGTTTGTGATTAAAGCTTACGATAGAAACGCATAGGAACTGGTGCTTTCAGTTGACTCGTGATGAGAATTGAAAGCCTTTTCATCTCCTTTACCATCATTCTGTGTGGTTCGACTACTTTCCATTATGACCTCTCTCATTATCTCAGCAGCTTTTGCTTCATTTGCTTTGGAACTATGTTCGTTCAGTAACTGTTCTTCATGACTTCTGTTGCTGATATCCTGGAATTTATTTGCTGGGGTTATATCACCAGGCTTATCAAACTCACCCGATTTAAAACAACCTAATTCAGTTGAGAAGCTCGAGTTTCCCATGTAGATGCTAAACAATGATTCATTGGAGGCAGTGCTCCATTCCACTGGGGAGTTCATATTGCTATTGGAGAAGACATGAGATGGAAAGCTGTAATGAGGAGGGGTGCTAGATTCACCTGGACGCTCCATCACCTGCACCGGAGGGTTTTGTATTTCCAATCCTTGGTTTGCCCCACCTGCCACACCACTGTGTTCATGGTTTGGAACAAAGTTTATTGGGACATCATCTTCACTAGATTTTGCTGGAGCGTGTGATTCAACATTTGTAGGAACAGTCACACTTGCAGATGGTTGGTTTTGTGATGAATTTCCTGGTGATGATTCATTTGCAGATGTTAGAAGAGATAAATGGGGCCTAACTTATCATCACTTGAAGAATGTTGATGTGTTGAGTCAGTAGGATTTGTGCTCAAGGTACCATTATTAATTATGCACTCATTACCTGTGTTGTTGGTTTCATCACTAGGCACTTTTTGGGATGATGGTGATGAAGGATGAGATTCCATATGACACTTGCTTGTGATTCCATCTCCTTGTTCCGTTGATTGAGATGTCTGATCCAAATTATGATCACCTACATTTTTGTTATCACCTCCGGTTTCCATCGGCCTACAATGTCAAATGATACAAGGTCCAGGTTTTCTAGTGGAAAGTTTCGTAAGCTGTAAAACCAAAATCTAAAATGAAAACTCGTATCTTAAAATATCATAATCAACATCTGTATGAAAAACCTAAAAAAAAAAAAAATATTTGCTTAACAAAGTTATAAACTACTTTTAGTTTTGTACTTTGATGCTAATTTAATTAAGAGGGGAAAACAAATTTTGGCAGTCACTTGAAGGTGAAAGAACGTATCATTCATTAGCTTGACAGAGCCAAAGGAGACAAACAACAGGAAGAGAATGAAGACCAGATTTTAATCAACCAAGAAATACAATAGAGCTGCGGTGCACAAAAATTCAATTTCATTGTCAAGATAAATAATAATTTCCATCTCTTCAATGTTAATTTCTGATCACCTTGTCTTTAAGACATTAAAACATGTAAAGTCAACCTGACATTTTCTCTATAAAACATCAAAATGGGATATTCGCCTTATCATGGTATATATAAACGTCCCAGGCAAACGAATACTATACACGATTAAAAATGCAATCGACATGATGGTGAAGCAAACAAACCCTGATAACTTCATGCAGAAAGTAAAATTAGAAAAGAAAATAAATTCTAAAAACTGCAGCGAAAATGAGAACATTACAGGAAAATAGGCAATGTATTTGAAAGATCGAGAGAGACTGCCGATCAGGCCCTTGCTGAAATCAAGCAAGATATGGCCAAGAAATCAGCAGTCCCAATATTCCCCCCAAGAGTAACAGAGACAAATTATTAAACTATATCAATAAAAAGGGAAGAAACTTATATTGAAGAAGAAGACAGATGGAGACAGAAAGTGATGATGAACTGGAAGGAAAAAAAAAGAAAAAAAAGGTTAAATAAAACCAATGGTGTTGCAGAAGTTTAGGGGGTCATGTTTCTCGACTAACAACTAACCACTAACGAACTTTCGATGCCATGCACCTTCATATGCCAACTGTTAACTTTATCACCTTATTGTGTACCAAATCATAACGTGGCTTATTCCTTGTATGATCCTGAAAGGCCGAGATAAAAGGTAAGTCTAGTTGGCAGTTATCCAGTTTCCAGTATGTACATTCAACCGAAAGGTATTATGAGTGTAACGAATTTTCTTTGTCCAATTGGTGGTTTTAACTGCTAACAATTGTGCAGAGTCTTCTCTTCAATGCATCAAAGCTTTTTTGTTAATTTATGAATTTAGTGGGAAAAAAGTCTATCTATATACCACACAAAAGTTATATATAATTCCCAAATTATGGTATGATAAGGAGGAGGGATCATATGAGTGAATTTAACATCTATTTAATAAATTTATTTTATAAATAATTATAAAAAAAAAATGGTTAAATATATGTTTGGTAATTCTACAATTTGTATGTATTAAAATTGGTACCTCTAAAACTCTTTTAATCTTTTTAATACTATATTAATCAGTTTTTTTAGCCGTTATTTTATTACTTTTGGATTTACCATGTTGATTGGCAGTGACATATGCTACATACTTGTAAATATGTTACATGTCAACACCTTAATTTACAAGTAATAAATTTATTGTCAAAACCAAATTAATATATTACTAAATGGTGGGTATAAAAAACATTAATCTTTTTTAAATACCAAAAAACTTATTTGACCAGCATTTTTTTAGTTATCTAACCAATAAATCCGTGTGTCTAATACGTGTTTGTGTAAGGTCTGGTAGGAAAAATAACATACAGGGAGTGACAAATGTTTAACAATTTTTTTTGCATAAAAAGGCTACACATGTTGCTAATAGATAAATAATTCATGATTTAAAATATATTATAAAATTTAAATATGGATTTTTATAAATGCACATATTTAAAAATTTGACATATTATTATTTCATATATTTTTTTATATTTTTTTATTATTTATTAATAATATTTTATTTAATCTTCTCAATATCAATAATTAAGATTTATTACTATGCACAAATATATTAAAAAAATTATTTTCACTATGTACAAATATATTTAAAAAATGATTTTCGGGGAAAAAATTGTTTTTAGTAAAAAAATGTTATAGACTATAGTTTCCTAAAAAAAATGAAAGTGGTTAAATTGGCAGTGCATTTTCATTTATTAATATATAAACATGTAATATTAAAATCTCCAACGTAGAGTGTAAGAGCTATTTTTCGTCATGAAATTGTTTGTAAACAAAATAAAGATATGATAAAGCGTTGAATCTCTTAAAAATTAGCAATGTGAAAAAAAATTTACGATAACATTTATTTTAATGGAAACTGACAGAAATTTAACGAAAAAAAAGAAGTAAAAGAAGATGTTATATACTCAAATTTGTTATATTTTTCAAAAGAAATGAAAGTACTAGACATTGAGAGAAGTCTTTCGTAGTTTAATTTGGAATTTGATACTTGTATATCAAAGAAACACTTTAATCATACCAGCACAGTTTTGATTTAAAATGGAAATGCTTGTTTTCTTGAAAGGTTAAACTTTTAAAAAGAAAAGAAAAGAAAAAGGAGTTCAGGCCCATCCATAGTTGTTTTCATTTCTCCATTCACAAAACTTACCGAATATTGTTTGGTGTCAGTGTTGAACACTTTCATCTTTTAACTAAGCACATGTTAGTTGACTTGATTGGTGTGCATCCCCTTTACATCATTTTAATTACTAATAGAGAAGATTTTCTGAATATCTAAGATGATCTTTTTTATTAGCTAAGATGATTTTTTTATTAATATATGTTAATATTATTTATTAATCAACGTTAATTAAATCTTTACCTTATCGCCTTTCCAAGCCTCAATCTACAACCCAACTGTAATCCGTTCTCTCCAAATGTAAATCATAAAATAGGCAAGTTTGAACCATGGGAAATTACATAAGATACTTCCCTATACAAATGAAAGAAAAAGATCAAGAACCTCAAACTTCAGTCCTCCACCTTCTTCAAAATAATAAATCAATAAGGGAATACACTTAAACTCCTGCAGAGCCTGTTAATGAGTATGGACCTCATACAATCTGTATTAGATGTGCTGCAGAAAAAAACAAGGAAATAACGGATAAAGAAGAGGATTAATAGGTAAAGGAATGAGAGCAAGGCTCCCCCAAGTCAGAAAAAAGTTCCCTTGACTCCAATTTCTATTTCCAAATCTGACATAATCCCCCACAAACAATTCCCCAATGCCAATATAACAGAACCACACGGGACACTCATTATCACTAAAAGAAAATATTAGGCCCCATACTCCTTGGGCCTTCGATGTCTTAAAAGGCTTATCCCACTTAGAAGGTAGATTCCTACCAAGACCACTTAACTTCCAAGTCTCTGATCCTCAGTGTTGTGGTTCTATCATATATAAGTTCCTTCATGTTAAACTTTCAAAACTAGGTTCAATTAAACAAAACCTGCTACTCAAGTTGGTAAACCAAATATTAAGAAAATATCACTGGCTTTCTCATTTCAGACAAGAAGGAAAGAGTTACAAGTCAAAGGGTTTCCTACCTCTTTATTTGGCTCTGTCTGACATGCAAATTTTATTGTTTCTAATTAATTATTAAGCAGCCTTGACTAACTGCCTTCATATCCACACACCATCAGTACTTTTCATTGATTATATTTTAATTTTTTGGAAGTGAATTCCTATCATGTACAAAACTATGGTTATTTATAGTTTTAAACAACAAACTTGGATTGAAGGGTTTTAATAGAGTGATTGATGTTAGGTTTCACAATTAGCTACACAAGCAATGACATGATCTTGGACTTCTTCTACATTGAACTGAATTCAATAGCTAAAGCCTTTTAAGATCTTTTGCACCTCTTCAACTTTCAATATCAGGAATGGAGTGCTTGCAGTCACAGATCCTAAATCTGCAGTAAGCTAGGCGTTTTTTGGGCACCAACCAGAAAAGAAAAGAATTACAGAACATAATCAACAAACAGTTTAATTTAAAAAAAAAAAAAAAAAAGGCATCAAAAGTCAATTGCTGAGCATAGCTCAACTGATATCTCACCCGGTCTTTGGGTCGCACAACGGTTATGTGGTGGTGGTGGTGGGGCAGGGTTAGATCCCCTACATCTCCATAAGGTTCAATAGGACATCCTTAGAACCAAACAAGAAGGAATCAAAAGTAAATTACTATAAATTAGAAAGTAAATATACATTTTCTGAAAACCTTCCGACTAAAGATGGGGCACAAAGCCAAGATATTAACAAACAATATTCGTGGTCATGTCGTAAGTTCGGTAGATCATTACCAAATCCAAACAACAAATCCTAACCTTAGAACAACAGGAGATTTAAAGAACATTGTACTACAAATACTTCAAGTAAGAGCCTGGTCAAGAAATAAAACAACACACCCAGTGCTATTGACACAGGAAGAGCAGGCAAAGCTTTCTGATATAAAGCCAAAAGGATCAAAGTTATGCCAAGACCCGCAATGATAGCAAGATAGCATGCATACACCGTCATAAAATCATACATTGCCGCCCTGCCAACCAAAACACTATAGAAGATAAAATCTCCTAGCCCTAACTTGATTGAACCAGAAGAACCCAATCCAATTCCCTCTAGCATCAAATTCTCACTTGGCACAGCATCTTCCCCCCTACCAAGCTGGACATTCATTCCACGATCAATCAAGGGCGCAGAAAGAGCCGTATCAGTCTCATGAAGTCGCATCCGTCCCTCTTCTGCACTCACCAAATTTCTGCAACCATAAGAGCCATCAGAACTATTAGCTCTCAAATCTGCATTTTCTCTAACTATGTTCGTGTTATTGCTGGGGCTTGCATCAGAATCGGAGGGGGAATCAACGCTGGGGCCGTGACCCAACACTGAGTCGGCATTCCAGTTGGAATCAGTTTGGAGATTTGAATTTTCAACCCTCCTTTCTCTCCATAACCGCCGCCTCTGGGCAAGATCCCCAGGATTCAAATTACCATGGTTCACAGGCCTAGCCTCATAAACTAATGCGGGAATTTCCTCATCTCTTGATATTGCAAGCTCTACCAAAAGCCTCAAGGGCCCAATTGGTAACAAAACTGCAGCAACGTCATACAAAGCCATGGCAACAAGCAAGGCCCAGGTGGTCCACTCAGGCAGCATAGTAAATGAATAAGCAATCAATATTCCAATAACAACCAAATAACCCTGCGTCACAAAAATCGCCATTTTTGACATAAACACGGTCAAAACACCAACAACAGCGAAATTACACAGCAAGAGGAAAAACGTAATGCAATCAATGGGAGTGTTAAACTGTTGGATCAAGAACAGAGAAACTTCACCGCCGAGGAATCCCAGCACGATGAAAGTGGAGAAAGCCATGTAGAGTTTCAAGAACCTAGTGCATCGGAAGTAGAAGAGGAGGACCAAGATGAAGGTTGCGAAGGTGACCAGGACGACGAAAGCCAAGGAGTTCAAAAGGGCACCAAGGAATTTGTCCCAGGTGGAGTCCGAGTTTGTCTCGGTGTAGGCCATGGTGACCATGCTCATCGATGCGTCGAAAAGAGAAGAATCGGTGTTCAGAATTGACACCAATATTACGACCAAGAACATGCATACTGAAACGGGTGCGATGATTCTCACGATTTCTTCCCCCAGAGAATCGAGGATGCTTGAACAGGGTCTCTGGGTTTGTGTTCGAGCCATTGCAAAATTGGAAGGGAGAAAGAAAGAAGACTCAGATCGAAACTGGCCAGTTGGAAGTGTTATGGTAGGCTTCACTTCTATATTGGGCCGGGCTGAAACATCATAAAATTGGGCTTAGGCCCGTTAGCGTAAAGTGGAAGGAAAAAAATATCTTACCTAAGCCCTACTTAAACCCATTTCCCTTGCTCAAAAAAAACTACAGATATCTTGCTAGGGTTTTAGGAAAAAGACATAGTCTCAGAAGTGAACGCAGGTAATGTACGATTTTGCAATCTTCTTCTTCGTTCATCATGGTTGTCTTCGTTTTTTTTTCTTTTTCATTTCACTGGTTTTTTCAAGCTCTTTTATTCCTTTAGATTATATTTATTTGTTTAATTTTTGGTGTAGACCAATACGAGCTTTTCTTTTCCGGTTTTTGATCGGCAAACTTGCTTTCCTCGGTGATCGGCTGATCTCCTTTTGAGATCAGAGAGTTAAATAGTTTAACTTGTTTCGAAATTAGTTTCGTTGGCTGCCTTTTGGGATTTATCTTCTTGTTTGGTACTAAAACAGAAATCATTCAAGTTTTTATGGCTTTCACTTTCATTTACCCTAGGTTTGTGTTCACACTCGGATTTTCTAATGTTGAGTTACTGATTAGTTTTTAAAATTGTGTTACGAGTTATATGCTGTACTACTGAGTGGTTGACGTTTGTTGCTTCCTTTACAGCAATGGCTTTCTTTGGTAGAATTGGGAATTTGTTAAGACAGACAGCCAGCAGACAGGTTAGTTCAGAGTTGCGTTCATCCCCGTCATTTTTTCAGGCTATACGCTGCCTGTCTTCTGCTCCAAGTACAAAGCTGTTTATTGGAGGTGCGTTTCAAGTTTCTTATGAGTTTATGCATTTTATGCTTTTTCTTCTTTGTTTTGTTGATAGCGATGATTTATGTATATGTATCCATCATTTGTCTGTCTGTTGCAGGTGTTGCTTATACCACTGATGAGCAAAGTTTGAGGGAAGCCTTTTCAAAATACGGTGAAGTTATTGATGGTAAATAGTTGGACACTGTTTTTTTTAAGATTTTTCCTTTCTATAACAATTTTCTATACGGTGAGGAGAATTGATGAGTTCTGTTGACAGCTTCTATGTAAATCTACTTTCTAATCCTTAAAGTTTCTCTTGAATGTCATGTTCTTTGTAGCAAGGATAATTATGGATCGTGAAACCGGTAGATCCAGGGGGTTTGGATTTGTTACATACACTTCTGTTGAGGAGGCATCGAGTGCCATTCAGGCTTTGGACGGTCAGGTAACACGGCTTACTTTTCCGTAGTGTTATAATATTGTGAGCAGCGTCGATTGTTATTATGAGTCCTTTATTATTGAATGAGAGGGAATTTTTTTGGTTAATCATTAGTTTTCCTGGCTGCTATTAGTTTTCCTTTTGTTTGATAGGCTTGTGCAGTTACAAGATTTATTAGGTATCCACTCAAATTCCAGGCACTTGAAGCTCATTTACCAAATTGTTTTTTATTAGGATGAGCTTTCGGTAACTTATCTGTGATGAATGTGAATGTAATATTTTCCTGGTGATGCTTGTCAGCTTATATGGTTTATATATTCTTTTATCCTTCTTCTTTAACATTTTTTGTTTATTTAATTTTTGCAACTCTTGTGATTAGCAACTAGAAATCGATTGTTACCTAATGCTACATTATTTCTGTGTAACATTTTCAGGACCTTCATGGTCGCCAGATTAGGGTAAATTATGCTAATGAAAGACCTCGTGGTTCATTTGGTGGTGGTGGTGGTTATGGTGGTTCATATGGTGGCGGTGGTTATGGAGGTGCTTACGGTGGCTCTGCATATGGTGGTGGAGGTGGTGGTGGCTATGGTGGAAATGTTTCCAGTGGTTATGGTGGTGGTGGCTATGGTGGAAATGCTTCCGGTGGTTATGGTGATGGTGGCTATGGTGGAAATGCTGGTGGAGGTGGATATGGTGCAGGTGGCTATGGATCAGGTGGCAATTATGGGGACAGTGGCTCTGGCAATAACTATCCTGCTGCTGACAGCATTGGAACTGGTGGTGCCGATGGCAGCTACAACAGAAATTTTGGTGATGTTGGTGGGGTAGGCAATCATGAAAGCTCTACTGGTTTTGCCGGTAGTGGATATGATGGAAGTGCTGTGGATGGTGGTGTTGCAGGTACTGGCACCAGCTTTGCTGATGGAAGTGGAGGGTTCGGCAGTGGTCAATTTGATGGCAAGGCAAGCGGCAACGGAGATGAGGATTTGGGAGACTACAGGGATGACAATGACGATACTGATAATTTTGCAAAAAGGGCTTGAAGGAATTTTTAAGTTCGTAGTTATCTACTATGCTCGTGTTCTGTACTCTAATCTCTTTGGCCTTCAACCTGATGAGCATCTCAGCTCGACATGGCTGGGAAGAAAGTAATGTAGGTTTATCTTATCTAAGCGTGTTTCTTTCCCTTATTTCCGTAAAGATTCAGGTGTCTCATTTTTGTTGCTTACATTGAAGTGATTTTAGTATTAACCAAAACGAGATCCTCATACAACATGTAAATCTGTTAATTGTCGCAAGTTGCAACAATAATCGAAGGCTTGTGTGAGAATGAGTATTTTGATCGGTTATTCATTTCGAGTGAGACGTAGTTCTGCACGAAATATCATTTCTGAACTTAATTCCAATTATTATGCACCCCTTCTGCCCCTTTTTGGGCAGCGGATGTTATTGTTTTTTATTAACACGCAATGGATTTTTACTATTTTTTGCAAATATATATATATATATATATATATACAGAGAGAGAGAGAGAGAGATAGTTAGATAGATATCTTTTTCTTTTTATCATTTTGTACTTGAATAAAAATAAAGTTCTCAATTGTTATATTTCAAGATTTAATAAATGTATATATTAAGAATATTAATTACGAATTTAAATTGATTTAAATTATATAGAAGTATCTTTTTATGACGTGTAAACCTAAATTTCAATTAAATTTAAATCAGAGTTCAAAACTAAGATTTTTTCGCTAACTATTTGTTCAAGGTCCTAAAACTATTTCCAGTAAATTGAGAGTCGAACTTAGTAAATTTTGCTAGTGTCATGTAACAATCTTATTTTGTTTGGGTATGAATATTGAATGCCAATTGGAAATTGAATAAAGAAAAATATTAATTTTGGTTTATCGATTTTACCGTTTATAATGTTTAAGATAAAGTCTCATTTAAAATGTTGTAGAGATTGATTCTTAGAGCATATTTAAACAAAGACATTACTTTATCCATAATTAAAGAAAAGAAATACAAATTAAGGTTGATGAAAGTACATAGTTAACAAAATTGATAAATTATTTATAAGTTGGCAACTTTATTGAATTTTTGAAGTATAAATAAAAATTATTCGTTGGATTAGTTAGTTATTACAAAACAGCAAACTCTAACTTTACATTTTTATATTATTTTTATTTGAAGCAAAAATATGATTAGGTAAAATTAGACTCTTAAGGCAACTTAGTTACATTTTGAGTTATCGTTTTTTTAATTTAAATAAAATGTTTCATAAAAAATAAAAACTGTAATATAAAAAAATACAAGTAAATAATTTTATTAAAATATTTAGGGTAACAATAAAAAATAATCACAAATAAGTTATGAGTTCAAGTGTTATTTTAAATCCTTCGAAAAAGTTTAAATAAGTCCATTAAATAACTTTTTTTTTTAGGCTTTAAATTTTGTTTTAAGAGGTTTATTTCAAGTTGTATATGAATGTTAAATATACGAGAATTTTAAAAACCATTCTTAGTGATTTAACATTTTTAGAAAAAATTTTAATTAAATTTCTCACTTGGGATGAAATTTACAAAGTAGTGTAGTTAAAGCAAGAATGAAGTAAACCAATTAAATATATCAATATAGTTTGAGTATTGATTGGAAATTCATAAATCAAATGATTCATGAACAACTAACTGAATAAATAAATAAATGAATATATATATATATATATATATATATATATATATATATAAGCATTTAAAATAATTATGATTAATGTTCAGTTAGACTTTCGTTATTTTTCTTTTTGTAAAAGTTCAATTATTTTATTTTTTCTGGCAGTTGGACATTGTATTTCAGGGTTGTTACTTTATTATTATGTTAAAATTATCTTTCATTTACAAAATCTACATTTAAAAAAAAAATTATTCCTCTCCCTTTAGTTTTGAGTGAATTATGTTTCAAGAAAATAAAGTACCATTACGCATTATATAACTATGAAGTTTAATAACGTTAAAAAGGCATAATATACATTCAGTGCGTTTAAAAGTTAAAGTGAATTTAATTTTGGTCCTCTATATTAATTTTTTTAAAGGAGAGTTTATTTTATTTTTTAAATTATAAAAATTTATTTTTAATTTTTGAATATTAATTTTGAAGGACTGAAATGAATTTTTAAAACTGTTTTTAATCCTTCAACTATTTAGGAACTAAAATTAAATTTAATAAATTTTAAAAAATAAAACATATTTTTAAATTTAAGAGATTAAAAGAATTTTTCCCGAAATTTTGATAAAGTAAACATAATTTAGTCCCCCGTACGTAACTTATTTTATTATAATCAATCCAACAAATTAAGCATCATAATAGACATAACAAGAATAGGAACAATTTATATTGTTTCTTCTTCATGTTTTTATCATGGTGATAATTATATTTTTTTAAGCTTGTTTGCATTAATAAAATGGAACAGACTTCGTTGCAGTTAAAACCCATACATAAGATTTTGAGGCTTATTATAGTTAATATAATCATTTTCACAAAGGTCTATTAAGTTGTTGATTTAAGAACAAAAACAGAAGCACTTGGCCATTGCTTGCAATTTGAAGCCAGAGGAATCCTATCCTTCTGTTTCTGGTGAAAATTTGATCGATTTTAATTTTTTGGAGACCTAAGTTCTAATCAAATTTCAACCACGTAAATTCTTTTTACTTAGGCTAGCAAACAGTTTTCAATCGAAACATGTATGAGAATCGAAAATACCATAGTATCGAGAAAATACTAACAATGTAATATGACATACAGATTGACAATCGAAAGTACTCTTTTTTCTATTTTTTTTATTAGGAAACATCGAAGTAAAGAAAACAGTAAAAGTGTTGAATCGAAAAGCCGTGCAAAATATTAAATTGTAGAGAAATGTAGAATGCGGAAACCTCAAATTTGCATTAAGTGTAAATGACAAGGAATCGAAATTGCAGAAATGTAAATGACAGGAAATCGAAATTATAGAAATGTAAATAATAGGAAATTGAAATTGCAGAAGTGTAAATGACAAGGAACTTAAACGCAGAATCTTAACTTGCATAAAGATGAAAATGACAAGGAATTGAAAAGACAGAAACTTAAAGTTGATAAACGTAAATTGCATGAACATAAGTTACCAGGGAAAGTAAAGAAAGCGATAAAGATAATCAATGAAAATGGAAATCCAGATCGCCAGAAACTTCATGATTCGTCATTTCTCCGGTAGACTTTTCACTTGTGTCTCTGCTGTCTCTGCCAATTTCCCCTTTCTTCTTCAAGCTTCGTTCTATTTATAGGCATCTTTCAATATAACCTCCTAAGAGCAGTTAAAAAACTGTCACCACATTCCATGTGCACGTTCCTCGATTTTTTACCTTAGTTTACGGTTTAGAAAACCGCTTCCACGTTCAATATGCATTATAACCGTTTCTCGATTTCTAACCTTAGCCGCGATGTGAAAAGCCACTCTTCATGTTCCATCTGCATGATAACCGTTTCCCTCGATCTCGATTCTAGTTATCGAGTACGATTTCCCTTAACCTTGATTTTGCATTATACTTTACCATTACTTCCATCGATTTTCCTCTCTTTTCTGATTCTCGATTCCCATTCTCGATTTATACGTTCATTCTATCTCGTGGTCACTAGGTATCTTCCAACCATCCTTCCGATTTATCAGCTTTTAACCAATCATATGATCTTTGATTTTCTCTCTTCTATTTTTCGATCATTGTATCGATTTCTCACTAACAAAATGCCCCCTTGTAAGAATATAAATATTTGTATCAATTCTATATTCTTTCAAAATAATTCCCACCCTCAAACGTTCCTGAGGCTTAAAATAACTTTTTTAGGGTTTAGGGTTTCTGGGGTTTTCTAGGGTTTCTGGGGTTTCTCTGCTTTATGTCACATATCAAATCACCTCTTTTCTGTTGTCACACCGCGCACGCCACGTATTAATTACTCTCTTCGCCTTCGTCGTCCAAATACCCTAGTCGGCCTCTTTAAATACTTTTATTAGATTTTTACCCTTGTTTTTTACCACGAACCTAAGTTGCACCTTCTCTTCATCTTCAATCCTTCCTCAAACTGTAATGGCGACCTCCAAATCCTCCGACTTCTCCGCCCCACTGCTTTCCTCAATAACTTCGACTTTGCTAGAGATAAACGGAAAGAAGTTTGCTCCGGTTCCTTTGATGGAAGAAGTCTCACAAAAGATTGCTGAGACCTAGGTACTTATCCCTTACGTCGCTGATAGTATAAATTATGCGTTTGGTGGTCCTATCCGCTACTATGGCGGATCATTTTCTTCTTCCCTCAGCCTTTCTTTAGAGAGTAAAGCTCTTATTCATCAGTGCGAGGTTCGAATTGATTTTCTGAATACTGTCTCAAAAGTGTATCGAACGGGCCCTCCCCACAAAAAACCTTTATACATTAGATGGTTCGATCGAGTAAAAACTAAGTTTGGGAATCATTGGAGAGATGTAGGGATCTTCGATTTCCTACATCTGTCTCGATGTGATCTGTCGTTTTTAGATATGACCATGTTTCTATCTGATGTTCATCTGTGGAACAAAGATTTACATGCACTGGAACTTCCCTGTGGTCCCCTTTCACCCACCCTTTTTGAAATTGCTGCAATTACTGGACTAAAACCCATAGGGAGAAATATTTTAAGGGTGCTTTCCCCTCGGATGATTCTCTAAGGTCAAAAATCGATTGGGAATCGAAGGCATATGGACATTTCATTGAAAAACATTTTATCGACGATCAATCGGTAACTGTTTCTGATGAGGAGCATGTGGCGTTCCTGGTATATTGGCTCTGCACTCACGTCTTTTGCCCCTGATCCATCCAAATCTCGTCCCACCTCTATAATCTTGCCTATCTCCTCCATACTTGCCAACCCAGGATTTGTTTAGCGAAGCTGTTATTGGCCCATGCTTATGCTTCTTTTGATGAGGCTGTCGACATTTTGAATACCCCAAGAGCCTCAGGGAATTTTTCGGGTCCCATCTGGTTT